GCAGGAGGGGGACATGACATGGGTTGTCATGTCTTTCCTGTGGACTCTGGGCCAGACAGGGAACACTCTGGCAGAAATGTCTGCCAGTGGGCACCAGGGTTCAGGGCTCCCCTGGTGAGCACCCAGTGACATCATGCTTGGTGACCCGGAGGCTCTTCCTGCTGCACTGGCTCCACTGGCACGAGGGTCACTCAGCGCCAAACTCAGGCAAGCCTTGCCGCATGGAGGCCATTGGAATTTGGGTCGAACCGTCTTTAGGTGCTCGCTTTGGCTTCACACACACCAAAATCAAATCCTCTCTGAGAACACATGTGATGGTGGGTGTGGTGGGTCCTTTACACCCAGAGCCCTTTCCCCTTTGGCAGCCCAGGTCTAGATTTTGGAAATGCTATGTTGCCTTCCAAATCCAATTTTGCCTAATTGTGATCTCTCTTGAGGATCCTTACCATGGAGTTAAAAATAGCATTTGCTGCTATCAGAGCTCAACTTAAGACCCCAGACAGGACTTGGCATGGTCTTGAAGAGATGGAAGTGACTTCCTTGAATAGCCCTGCTCCTTACAACGGCGCCCGCTGCACACGCATGTCACAGTGGCCGGGGCAGGTGTGAGCAGGCCGGGTGCAGGCTGCAGCGGGGGCGCCGGTGCTGCATCCACCACACACCCTGTCTGCTTATGCTGTGCAGGGCTGGGCACGAGTGGGCGTCTGTTCTGTGCCCTGCAGACATAGACAAATGGCCAAGCAAGGAAGCCTGGGATCAGAAGGCACCAGGGCAGGTGAGGGTCGCCCCTTCCCTCACTCTGAAGTCCTTTGATTTTCCAGGCTGGCTTGGTCCCTGGGAGTCCCAGGAACCGCAAGGCCCGGCTCCCATGGGGTGAGGTCAGTGTGCATCTTTCTAAACCACCTCTTCAGACAGTGCTTCTCCTGGCTCCCCTACAGGGCAGCAGGCTCAGGAGATAGTTTGGGGTTTGAACCTCCAGGCCATGTCCTGGCTGCCTGTCCCTAAGAGGGGCAAGAGTAGGAGGTTGGGGGTTGAGCATTGGTTCTCTGGGGCCGCACCGGGCTGGATTTTATTTCCTCCATTCAGAAGCCCAGCCGCTAAGTGCTCTTCAAATGTAAAGTACCACGACAAGACCGATGGAGCCCTGAATCAGGAGTCCTTTAATGCCAGGAGAGTCATTCTTTATTCTATTGGCCTGTGCATTTGCCCACTGGGGACCCTCACGGGACGGAGTGCTAGTTGTTGGAGTTATTTTAATATTCAGCTGGGCGTCTGTCCCAGCCCAACTTACATCCATGGTCTGGGCCCTCCAGGGCTCCACAGAGTGGCCCAGGAGTCCCTAGGGGCATCACACCCCATGTTGGACCCCAGCCCTAGAGCTTGAGGCAACATGCATTGGGGGGTTGAGCTTCTTTCTGTGCCTCTGCAACGTGGGTGGCAGTGACAATGTCCCCTCTAATTGCTCCTACACTAAGTCACTTAATACTAATAATGCCTCACAGACGAAAGTTATTACCGTGAAACCCATTTTACAGCTAGGGAGATTGAGGCAGGCAACAGAGAGCCAGTTAGCTGGACAGGGTTTCCAAGTCAGGTTTGAGCCAGGCCCCTGGATCAGGATCTGTGCATGGATCTGGCAGTGCGCAAGACCTCCCTCCAACAGGGCCGCTTGTCCTTGAGGTGGCAGGGAAGTCAAGGGCACCGGCCTGAGGGAAGTGCCTAGGAGTGAAGGAACGCCAGCACTGTCCTCTTCCTGTTGCTTCTTTTCGGGTTTGCGAGAGGCAGCACCCCACATCTTGTGCCGAGTGGGCGCCGTGTGGACGTGTGGGCTCCTGAGGTGGCCTGGAAGTTTGTGGATTTGGGATCGCTCGGACGAGATCGCGGTCTTTGCTCTTCTGTCTTGGGAAGCCAGTGTGTGGCTGTGGACCGGATTCCCAGCGCCCCGAGGTGACCCACCCCCGGCGGGCTCTGAGCCTGCAGTACCACTTTTCCCTGGGAGGTGGCGCCCTTATCCCGCAGTTGGAGTTTGCGCGCTAACCGGGAAAACAAGCCGGAGGGACTTCCCCAGCCTGCGGGCCGCCACCCTGGCCCGGCCAGGAGCCTCTTGGGTGTCACCAAGTTCTCAATGGCCAGCCAGGACCAGGCGTAGGGAGAGCAAAGCGCCGGGAAGGCGCCCCGGGGAGGAAGCGGCTTCTCGCCCCAGCTGCTCCAGCCACCCCACCAGGGCCGCGCTTGTACCCGGGCGGGGGGAACCTGGGGTCCCTGTGTCCCAGCCGCCGCAAGCTTAATGGACGTGAAAGGAGTCGCCTTCGGCTCGGATTCGAAGCTGCCGCACCCGGAGAGCCCCAATGGAGTGTTCAGCCCACCCAGGCCGCTTTTGCCGAGAGGCACGCGAGACCCTGCGCCGGTGCCGCTCTCTAAGGGACCCCGCCCCACCTGCGCGCACGGACCCCGGCCCGCTGCCCTGCGTCCCTGTCTTGCACCCCGTCCGCGCTGGGACCCCGCGAGGCATGGGCGCTTGCTCCGGGCCAGGGTGACTCCGACTCCTGCCACCCGTGGGGTGTCTCCGCACTTCTGCCAAACGTGAGGTGTCTCCGAGTGCGTCCGCGAGGGCCTGGGGGAGGGATGCCGCACTGGCATTTTCTGGTTTGGGGGCGCTGTCTTGAGCCTGGTCCATGGCCACCCCAGCTCCTTGGCCGGCTGGGTTTGCAAACCTCCCTGTCCGCAGCCAGGGGGCGCGGGGAGCCGGAGCGCGCAGGAAAAATCCACCCGCTTCCTGGGCCGATTGCGTAGCCGCCGCCCGGCCGTGTCCCCGCCCCCGACCGCGGCCCCCGCGCGTGTCGCGAGCGGCGCTCAGAACCCAGCAGTCCTGCTCGGCGGCGGAGCGCGGGGACAGGGACGCGGCGGCGGCGACAGGGACGCGGACACGAACGCGGGCGGGCGCGCGGCGCGCAGGATCCCAGGCCTCCTCCCGGCGATGGCCGGGGCGCGCGGGGTGGCGGCGGGCGGGCGGCGGCGGCGGGCGGAGGGCGCGCGGGGACGCGGCCGGGCGCCCCTGCCCTCCGCGGTGCCCGCCGCCTGAGGCTGCCCGGGCGCGGGGCCGGCGCCGGCGCGGCGCGGGAGGCGACTGAGGCGCGATGTCGGTGCCGTTGCTCAAGATCGGGGTCGTGCTGAGCACCATGGCTATGATCACCAACTGGATGTCCCAGACGCTACCCTCCCTGGTGGGCCTCAACACCACCAAGCTCTCGGCGGCCAGCGGCGGGACGCTCGACCGCAGCACCGGCGTAAGTGCCGCTCCGCCCGGCCTCCCGCGTCCCCTGCGCCTGGCCGGGCGGGACTGGGACGCGGCGGCGCCTGGGGAGGGGAGCGAGACCGGGCGGGGTTCCAGAGGTTCCTCTTCGCGCCTTGTCCGCTGAAGGGGAAGGGGGAGCTCGCTCAGGGACTCTGCACCCTGGCGTCCTCGGACACTGATAATGAGTCCTCTGGTCCAAGCTCAGGAAACTGAGACCAGGGACTTGGGGACTTGGCCAAGGTCACTCAGCAAGTAAGGGGCGGAGGCGCCGCTTGACCCCACTCCGGGCTTGCCCCAGCCTGGACGCAGCCCGCTGTACTTTGTCAAAGCCCGGCTGGACCGGGAGTGGGCCCCAGGGCACAGGGCATAGGGCACCGGGCACCCCCTCACCTCCCATCCCCACACAAAGGCAGAACCACTGGGTTCCCTCCTCCGGAGAGGGTGCAGAGGAGCCGGGCGGGGCCCCTGGAAGCAGTGCGCGCTTGTTTCTCCCCTGGCCGTCGCCCACTCCTCCCTCCTCTCCGTGAAATCGCTGCCTTTCCCATCTGGAGCGCTGGGGCTCGGGGAGCAGTGGCCCGGAGCTCCTGAGGAGGCCTGGGGAGGTGTTGTGGTGGATAGAGCTGGCTGAGCCTGAACCACCCACTAGCCAGGGGTCCAAGCTGCAGAGGGGCGCGCCCTGGCCGTGTCCCTACGAGTGGAAAGGAGAGAAGGGCAGAGTCTCCGTCCCGCTCCCTTTTCTGCTGCCATTAAGGCTCGTGCTATTTCTGGAGATCTCGGAAGTGTGACCCCTGTATGAGACCCTTGTTCCTTCCAGCTTCCCTGTGGTTTCAGAAGTCCGAACTGTGCTTCCTCCAGGGTTTTGTTCCCTGCCTTTGGGTCTCGAGCTCCTGGGGTTGGAACTGAATGAAATGAAATTCATCACTACTATCGCTTCTCCCGCCCAGCTCTCCGCCAGGCCCCATCTAAAAATAGCAGGGAGGTGACTGATGCCAGAGGAGGTGCCGGAAACCCAGCAGGGGCAGTGTGTGTGTTTGGGACATGATGGGCAGGGCCACCCAAAGGAGCTCTGGTGTGGTGATGGTCTTCCGGCAGTCCTGAAGATGGAGGTTGGGATGACCCCTGCACAATATGTCACCAGCAGTTTGGTGCCATCCACCAAATGGCTTGTGGGTGGAAGCCCTTGCAGAGCTGGAGCTGGTGTCCTCGCCTGGCTGCCAGCAGAAAGCTTGCTGTGGCTCTGGGCCGTGGCAGCCCTGGGCTCTCCGGGCCCTGGTGGAGGGTGCATTGTCCTCGTTGTCCTCCTCTCCAAGTCTCAGGGACTGCGGTGCAGAGCCTGGCTGTGCCTGTGTCCCTCCCCGGGAGGGAAGGTGTCTGTCAGTCACCCAGCCAATTACTTTCCTGCTGGCTTCTCCCATGTACCCCCAAAACTCTGATTTAGTAAGATGTCAAAACTCACAGCTTTCAGCTTGGATTTTTAAACTTTAAAGAGCCCTTTGACTTCTCTCAGCCCTGGGCACTCTAGTGGGGACCTGTGCTCTTCGTTCCCAGGGAGTTCTTTCCCTCCGTGGGGTCCAAACACGACTTTGTCCCCCCAGTTCTCCCCGCGGTTGGCCATAGACAGTGTCCCCCGTGTAGCTGCCAGTGCCTGACCTTCCCTCTCCCTTTCCTCTCTGCGCCTTCACCTCGCCTGCCCCCTCCCCTGCAGGTGCTGCCCACCAACCCAGAGGAGAGCTGGCAGGTATACAGCTCTGCCCAGGACAGCGAGGGCAGGTGTATCTGCACAGTGGTTGCCCCCCAGCAGACCATGTGTTCCCGGGACGCCCGCACAAAACAGCTGAGGCAGCTACTGGAGAAGGTGAGTCCAGGCTGGGCATGTGTGCATGAGTGTGTGTGGGCCCATGCCAGTCCTGAGGCTGGGCCAGCCTGCTGGCCCATCCCTGGCCTCTCCTGGAGCAGCCCCATTGAAATATTTGTGAATGAATGAACAGACACGTGAATGGATGGCTAGACGGATGGGCAGACAGACGGGTGGAGGGGGTTACCCAGGGTGGCCCTGGAGGAGATGAATATGCCTATTTCCTGGTCCCTGTGGACACCACTGAGGAGCCCTGAGGGGCCAGGGAGGCTAGACTCAGGGTCCAGCCTGAGTGCTCAGAGCTGCCACCAGGGGACAGCTTATCTGGGCTCAGCCATGGGTGGCCATGCAGGTTTTACATGGTGAGGTTTCGGTGGGGGTGTCCACCATTGTGGTTGTCTTCCATTCAGATGAAAGACCACATGGTCACCATCATAGTCCAGCCGGGGGCAGTGTGTATAGCTGGCTTACAAATCACTGCATTGCTTCACTTGATCTTCCCAACAGTGGTGTGGAAATGGGTGATTCCAGAAGGAGAAAGTTCGGACCCCACAGAGGAATTGACTTCCCTGGGCCAAACAGCTGGTTAGCAGGGGAGTCACCCCACATGCTGCCCCAGGGCACTCTATTCTGCAGTAAACCTAGGTGCCGGGGTCTCTGGGCAATACTAAGGGAGGGGGAAAGTATCTCTGCCCCTCCTCCTGCCAGGGAAAGGGGCAGTTTATATGTGGCACTTATGGTTTGGATACCCTCCCCAGAGTGGGGCCACGCCAGACGCACCCACTAGTAAAGCCACGACTTCCTGCGGCTTGGCTAGGGCGGGGACCCTCTGTGACTCAGGACACCCGCTCTGCTCCCCTTCCCACAGCCACCCGCCCTGGAACCTGGTCCCAATATTCCTCCCTCCTTGCCCTAGCAAGTGCCTCCAGCCCACTCACCCTCCCTCTCCATGCTGCGGGCAAAGCAGGGTCCCTTGTGGGACTCAGTTTCCCCAGCTGTCAAGGCAGGGAGTGGGCCAGAGATTCTGCAGTTGCTGGGTTCTGTGTCTGGTGCCTCTGGAGGGCATGACCTTACCTCCTGGGGCCTGCAGGAGCCTCCCTGGTTGCCAAGGAACAGGCTGTATCTTTTTTTCTGCTGTTGTTAGTCACTTAAATAAATCATTTGCAGAGTCACAGAAAAATGCATTTAGGAGCCCACAAACATTTATTAACACCCAACAAGAGCAGGGGCCACTGGGTCTTTAATTATTCAGATTCAGAAGGCAGGCTGCTGGGCAGGGCTTGGGACTGGGGCCTTTGGGGAGGCCAGTGGCTGGGAAATGGGTTCCAGAAAGCTCCAGAGCCCCTGGGAAGGAGGCCTCCAGCTTTCCTTTCTGCTTACGCAGGCCACAGCTCTGCTTAAAAATTTAAAGCCCTATTTTGTGCGCGGGGGCACTCTATTTTCGGCGGCAAAGCCATTGGCTGGAAGAGAGGCCACCTCCTTAGTGGCCTTGCGTTGAAATGGGCAGATGGGCTAAGCATCCAGAAAGGCTTCTGGGGCCCTTTCTGCTTCTCTCCAGGGGGGCCCTGAGCCTGCCCTGGGGGGTCTGGGCAGGAGGAGCTGGGGAGCCAGATCCTTGTTTTTGGCTTTGTGCAAAGACCCAAGGGGTAGGATCTCAGGGTGCTCATCCTGGGCCCCCAGAGCATCTGGGGTGATGGCCTGGAGCTCTTGGGGGCTGGTGGCAGGGCTGGGATTGTGCTCTTGGAAGAGTCTGACTCTGGGTTTGGCACCTTTGTCTCGGTGCATAAAACCCCTCAATGGTTCCTCTCCCAGGGCTTTGCAGAGGTCACAGGCCCCGCCTGGCACCTGGACTCCTACCTGGGGATATTCAGTGGGAACCAGCAGTTGGTTACTTCCCACAGGCCAAGTGTGCAGGCAGGGGACCCCTGCCTGCTGCCACACCAGCTAGGGTGCGGCTTGGCTTTGTGACCTTGGGGGCCTGTTGGCTTCTCAAGGGCGCATCCTAGAAGTAATAGGCTTTGTGGATCCCAGAAGAGGCTTTGGACACAGAGTCTCTGAACACAGTGGTGACACTGGACCCTTTAGCCAAGGACTCACAGGGGAGTGGCCAGGAAGTGTGTGCCTTCCCTAAAGGCAGCTGGGTAGCTTGGCATCTTTAAAACCTGAAATATGGTAAAGTAGTGAAGGAAAGTGGGTGGGATGAGGAAGCCCACTGTGCAGTGAGAGGCCTCCCGAAGAAGCCAGGTGAGCTCCGCAGGCTTTGTCCTGGCTCTTGGGGCCTTGGCCCTCACTCAGCTCCAGCTGGGTCTCCTCTGCAGGGGTAGCAATAGGGTTCTGACTGGAGCTGCCTATGGGGTGACAGATGCAGCTGAGGCTCAGCTCTCCAAGAGAGTTCTTGTCCCTCAAGGTAAATGGGTAGATGGGGTGTGTGGCTGGGGCATGAGGTAGCACTTGCAGGATGACCAAAGCTCAACTCCCCAACTGCCCCTCCCCCCAGGGGCGGAGATCATCCAGAGACAGAGCAAGCAGGGGAGGGGCAGCAGGGAGCACAGAGCCACAGACAAATATGCTCTAAGGAGATCAGGGGCTAAGCCGCCCCCACGCTGTGCCTTACACACCCGAAATGCTGAAGCCAGTCCATGTGTGTCATTTCCCCATCAGGAGCCACAGGGTCCCAGCACTCTGAAGTGCTGAGTTAGCAACATTTGTCTTCCTGTCGCCCTGGAAGGCTCATTCCTGGTTGCTCTCTTTTAATACCATTTTACTATTATCGCAGAGCGGGGATTGGTGGGAAGAAGTGGGCACCTCACTGTCCTCTGTGTGGTCGCAGAGCAGGCAGAGCTCAGCCTTGGACCCAAATGCGTGTTTTCCTAGAAGGGAGAATATTTTCAAACTCAGCAAAAAGAGCAGGAATGGAGAATTGCTCTTTGGAGGTGCCTTTTTCCTCGGTAATTGGATTCGATTCAGGAAACGCCCCCCACCCCCACGGCGGCGGCGGTCTGGCTTCCTGGCTCCTCCCCACCGCCCTGATCGCATTTGCAGAGTTGAAGCCGCTTTCATGCAAACGAAATGCGCTGGCAGGTGGCTGCACTAAAACTGTTTTTCTTTTAAGCTCTCTGGAATCCTGTTGAATATTAAAGTCCCATCTCGAGGCGAGACTCAATTCAGATCTGCCTGTAAAGATGTAAAACAGCGATCCTTCATTTGCTGGGTGATTGATTCCTGACACCATGTGCCGAATGTGTGTGTTTGCCGAGCAGTCATCTGCCTATGATACTGTGGGGGTGATGGATGGCGCGGGAGACGGGAGTAGCTCGGCGCTGAGGCTGGAGAGTGGTTTTCTTGTTCTTTCATTCCTCACTTAGCGCCACCACCCCTGCAGGAAGACACCCTCCCTGCCAGAGGGAGGGGGAAGGGGAATTTATAGGGGGGGGCAGCCCTCTGTGTGTGCATCTCTTGCTATTTGTCGCTGAGATCATTGTGCAACATAAACAGTGTAGAAACAGCCCCCACCCCCAAACAGGGGAGAAGATAAATCACCCCAAGTCCTCTGCAGCCCAGGAGGTACCGACTTCTGTGAGGGTGTGCATCTCTGGTTGTAAGAGCCAGGCCGGGAGACAGCAGAGGTGATTTTACCAAGTTGGTTTGCTTTTAGGGACTCGGTCCTGGCAGTGCCGGAACTGGGGGTTAGCTGGTAAATAATGTGTGGGTCCTTCCTGGCTGCTGCGGGCTGGCTTTGTGGAGAGGTCAGCGTGGTGTGTGAGTGGGCAGGCGTGATCGCAGGCACCTGCCGCAGCTCTGGCCTTGAACCTGTTGCCCTTTTGACAGGTACAAAACATGTCTCAATCCATAGAGGTCTTGGACAGGAGGACTCAGAGGGACCTGCAGTATGTGGAGAAAATGGAGAACCAGATGAGGGGGCTGGAGTCCAGGTTCAAGCAGGTGGAAGAGAGTCATAAGCAACACCTTGCCAGGCAGTTCAAGGTATGTGTCCCTCCTGTCCTGTCTTGTCCTCTCTCTTGTCCTCTCCTGTCCTGTCTTGTCCTCTCTCCTCTCCTCCCTTGTCCTCTCTTGTCCTATCTCCTCCTCTTCCTCCATATCCCTCTCTTCTTCCTCCTCTTCTCCTATTCCTCTTCTTTCCTCCTCGTCCTGTTTTCTGGTCTTGCTCTTTTTCTTCCTCTGCTTCCTTCTCGTCTTCCTCTAAGGCTGGGCTTGTTTTCCCTTCCTGCTTCCCCTCTGCCCAAGAAATACTGAGTTGAAAGCAGAAGGGATACAGAAAGACCCTTGTCCTACCGAGGGCTGTCGCCCTTGGGGTAGAGAGCCCCCACCCTGGTAAAGGCACCTGGGGAGGGTTGGGTGGCACCATGCAACACACGCCAGCCCTGGCTTGGAAGCCAGTCTGGTTTAGAAGCTGGGGTCCCTCCCACCCCCTTCGTTCCTCGAGCCAAGACACATATTAGCTGCAAAGGAACATCATTTTGGTCCTTGTCATTCTACAGCTGCCGCAGGTAATCACATTAGCCAAGGATTAGCTTAATTGATTAGAGCTGTTTCTGAGCAGGGATCACTCAGGGCAGTCTTTCACATCTGACCTAATTTAGCTATGACAAGGCATGCTGTAGATGCAGGGAGAAAGGGAGCCCAGGCTCTCCCTCAGCTCGAGGTGAGCATTCTGTGTCTCCAGATCATTCTGGACATTCAAACCACAGGTCCTTTGCTCTGAGATGCTCTATGTGCCTGTATCAGTATGTATGTGTATATCAGCAGCGCTGCTGCTAGGCTGAGAAATTACATGCCGCCTTAATTAAGGTGTGTATGCATGTTAATTAGCAGTCAAGCCCTGATGTAAGCGAATAGGTCAAATTACACAGCCGCTTCCTCTCCTGGCTGGGGACTGCTGAGTCCCCATCTCTGTCTTCCTGTCCTTTTATGCTAATGCCTTCCTTTGATGTGCTCCCTGCATGAAGCAAGAACTAATTCTCCTTTAGAAGCAGTACATTAGGTAGAGGAGTCAGCAAGCTGACCAAGTCACAGATCCATCTCCTAGATAAAATTCTCCCAGGCTTGGCCCTGTCCAGGTGAAATGCCCTGGGCTGCTCTTGTCTGAGGCTGGTGATCGTTTTTTGTCCTTGTCTCTGCTGTGTGATTGTAAATTACCCTGAAGAGAGAGTTTGACCTTTTTGACCCATAAAGATGGGCAGTGGGTGAAGGCTGCCCCTTGTCGGTGCCCGCCAGACCCCCCTCTAAAGACGGGGTTTCTTCAGCAACCACCAAGTTTCTTACCCTTTTGGACATTGTCCCCCAAGACATTGTCTGAGTTGCAAATCGTGGCTTTGAGGAAGGAAAAACAAGCCCTTGCCCTTTGCATTGCTGAGAAATCCAAGCAAATTGCTGTGAGGGAGTCTACGTCGTGTTGAAGTCAGTGTTAAAGTGTGATTTTTTTAAGGAAGTGACCATGCAAATATTTGTCTCTGTGTAAGGCAGGTTAGTGAGCTAGTTTTTCAACGGTGTTTCATTTTCTTGCTTGCAGGGCTAACTTAAAAGCGTTTTTACAATGCTGCAGTGACTGAAGATGCAGTCCACTCCCATGTAACCATGAAAGAGCCAGAGAGCTTTTTGCATCATGCATTTTTACTATTATTTTCCAATACTTAGCACCATATCACTAAGGAACCTTGAATCCAACCAGGATCCTCCTTTGCATGCGACTCTAGATGCATTTCACGAATAGTTTGAACCCTTGTCAATGCATTTTTTGAAAAAGAAAGAAAAAAACAAGAACTTTGTGTATGTGACCTTGAAAGCATGTAACCTTGAGATGTTGCATCCTCAACTGACAATAAAGACCTTTCCCAAATATGTTGGTGTTCTGAGGACTGTTTAATATGCTCTCCTGACTGCTTTGGACCAGAATAAATAAATGCATACCTAAGGCGGCAGTGTGCACACATTCCCTCGCGTAGGGAGAAACCAGGCCGAGGCAGGGTGTTACGAGTTCTTGCATGCACCGCACTGAACCCAGCTTATTTTAACCTTGCAGGCGATAAAAGCGAAAATGGATGAACTTAGGCCTTTGATCCCTGTGTTGGAAGAGTACAAGGCCGATGCCAAATTGGTATTGCAGTTTAAGGAGGAGGTCCAGAATCTGACGTCAGTGCTTAACGAACTGCAAGAGGAAATTGGCGCCTATGACTACGATGAACTGCAGAGCAGAGTGTCCAATCTTGAAGAAAGGCTCCGTGCGTGCATGCAAAAACTAGGTAGGCCCAGCACCCTGCGGGCGCAGCGCCATCCGCTGGCCCCGCCCTCGCGCCCTTAGAAGTGGTGCTGAGCGGACAGCGCCCGCGCACCAAGGCTCGGTGGTGCTGAAGGGACAGCGCCCGCCTGTCTTCCCGGCTGGTGGTTGTGCTAGGGCCCCTGGGTAGAGCCACTGAGATAGCAGCCAAGGAGCTAGGCAGCGCCCCCGCCCCCTAGGTCCTCCGTGCAGGCCAGCTGCAGAGCCCTTTGCGTAGCACAGCTGGAGCAGAGCAGGATGACACTATATCCTGGTACCATCTGATGGAGGAGGCGTGCGTGCATACGTGCGTGCGTGCATACGTGCGTGCATGCGTGCGAGGGTTTATGCGTGGGTGTGCATATTGCAAGTGTGTGCTTTTAGAACACTAGTTGAACGCAGCTGGCCACAGGTCTCCGGTTCCTCTAGGGTGAGAAGAGGGCTGATGAGGCTAAGAGACCGAACCACACCTGGTTTCAATGAAAGGGAAAGGTGATTTCAGCCACATCTTAGCAGGAGAGGTTCCTGTTCTGGCAGGCTGGAGGAGTGGGAATCGGGAGGAGTCAGACCTGGGGTTCCCTCCCCAGGTGGGGTGGCCTCCCGGGCTCCATCGTGATCGATGACCCGCCTGCCAACTCTCAGTTAGCATCTCAGGCAGACTGAGCATGCTGGTGTTGGGGTCTTCTTTCAACAGCGCACTTCCTGTCCCGGCCCCAGATTTTCCTGAGAATCAGCCAGCCTTCCCTGCCAAGTGCTCTTAGCACAAGTGTGGTTCCTTCCCCTACTGTACACTCTCTAGGGGGACTGGGAGCCATTGTTGGGCCAGGAGCACCTCGCGAAAAATTTTCCAGGCTCTGTTTCTAACCTGTTCCTTTCGCCCTCCCACCCCATGCTTTATGATAAACAAAGAATCCAAAAAAGAACAGACACCTCTAAAATTCTTGGGTGTTAGGGAGAAGAGAGAATTTAGTGGGGGCAGAACTAGCCTCAGTTCTGGATCATTCATAAATGCTATTCTGGATTTTCTTGGTGAGGCAGAAGACTCCTGGTCCTGGGGCAGTGTAAGAGGGGTCGCTGGCCGTGTCACTGAGAGATCACAGACAGCATGCCTGTCAGCATCGTGCCTCATAGAGCCTCCATTCCAGCATGGCAGGGACAGTTCTGGCAGGACTCTGGGACGGATGGTCCCCACAACCCTTCCTATGATGACATCCTAGGAGCCAGCAGAGTGTTTGGAGCATTAGTGACCTGAGGGATGTGTGCATGAATGATCGTGGGCCCAGCTGACTCCTCCGCTGTGTGTGGCCTCTCTCCCGGCCTGCACAGCACTCCCAATTAGCATAAGAGCTGTGTTTCAGTGCGTGCTGTTAACCATTTCCTCTGCAAGTGGTGCCCCCACACTGGTGAACAGACCACAGATTCCTGGAGATGTGAGAGGGGGCCTCCATGCCCTGCAATCCAAGGGCCAGGGCAGCGGGGTGGAAAGGTACTACACTGGATATCTGAGGGCTGGGGGCAGGGGAACTGGGCTTCCCAGCCATCCTGGCCAGATTTTAGTAGCTGGGGGAGTGCACCTTATGGCACCAGGGTCTTGGGTCCTTCATGTGGTTATGTTCAGGCTTTTGATTTCGAGCAAAGAGAAAGACCACACCCCATGGCTGTGTGGCACTGCACTCTGGGAAGGCAAAAGGCAGTCAGGCCTCTGCCCAGAGACTTGTGTGGGGACAGACCCTGAGGCACAGTGGCTGCTGGCGGCCCATGCTCTGTGATTCTAGCACCCAGCACCCTGTCCATCAGGGGCAGCCCTTTCAGGTGGCACAGAGACTCCCAAGTGCCACTCGATAGCTGCCAGCCTCACCTGGGCATTTACCTTTTCCAGTTTCAGCTGCCTCCTCATCTGTGGAGGAAGATACAGGAGGAGTCCCTGGGCCCTGGGGGATGACAGGATGGGTGAATTTTCAGGTGTCACTCATGTCCCTAGCTGAGTGCTATCTGGTGACAGGATGGGTTAGTGAGAAGGTAGATAGGCAGGTAGGTGGGTAGCTAAGGGATGGACAGAGATGATGGTTGATGAGTGGATGGATGGGTGGGTAATGGGTGGATAAGCAATTGATAGAGTTGATAAGTGGGCAGATAAATAAAGGATAGATGATACATGATAGATGATTGGGTGACTGATGGGCAGGTGGGTAAATGATCAAATTACAGGACAGATGATTGGCTGACAATAAACATCTAGACAGCCTTAGCAGCTGCTGCCTCTCCTCCTCCTCTTCCCAGCTCAGTAACTTAAGGACCCAATCAACGTCCCTTGGCTGCCTAATTAGTCGTGGCTTTAGCTTTGTAACAGGCAGCTGTCTCTAGCCTGTCCTGACGCCTGTCCCTTGAGTGGCAGTGGCCAGGGACGTGGCTTCTGTGCCGTGGAGCTAACACTCCCTGCCGGCCCTCCGGGTGGATGGAGCTTTGCAGGAAGCTGCAGCTCAGTAGCTGGCAGGGTCGCCTCTTGTCCCCTTGCTGTGCCTGCTGCCTCTGTGGGTCCCCAATCTGACTGTTGGCTCCTTGACCCACTGGGATCAGGGTCTTGGTTTCCTTTCTGGGACAGCAAAGGGCCAAGTGTCCTTGCCGCCCTCAGAAGTCCTGGTTAGAGCTGTCCTCGCTGTGGACAGCCCCTGACCCAGAGCATGCATGGAAACAAGCAATGCCAGGGCCATGATCCCTCTGCCCCCCAGTCTTGGGTCCCCATGGAATCTCGTATTTTTCCCAAGGGTGCAGCCAGAAGCTCGAATCCCAGCCTCTTAGTGCTAGCCTGGTGGTTAAGCCTGGTATCTCCTGGCCCCTGGAAGGGAAGCCCTTCCTCAGAGCTCCACTGTAGCCCCAGGGAAGGGAGAGGGAGTGCCACTCTGTGGCCCTCCAGGTGCCCCTGAGTCAGAGCTTGGGCCATTCTTGCTGGGCACCGCAGAGTCAGGAAGCAGCTGCTGGACAGAAGCCCAGCAGTGTGGCTGAGACATTCTGCTCCTGCAGATCTGGGGGTCCTCTGTCTGCCCCCAGTCACACCATCCTTGCATGCCTGCTGCTGGCTTCTTTAGCTTTTTTCTACTTTGGAGGGGGAGGGGTTTTCTGTTAGCCAAGCCTGGCCCTCGCCAAGGAGTCCTGCCAGCCAGAGGAGAGCAGGTAGGGCCTCCTCTCCCTGGGGGAGGTCAGCAGTGGTCAGGGCATGATGTCGTTCCTGGTGCAGGGCTAGCACTCTCTGCTGGGGGCCAGTCGAAAGGCTTCTCTTGTTCCTAGCTCTGCAGAGGTCAGGAAGGGTGGCCAGGCAGAGGCTGGCCCTCACCTTCCTCTTGGGGCCCTGGGCGGGGCTGGGCCTGCAGGCGAGGTCAGGAGGCTTGGCATTCAGTCCAGGATCAGGAGTAGAGGGTCCTTGGCCTGAGAAGAGCCCCTGGGAGGCGAGAGCCAGCTGAACACACCTCTCCTGGGCTGGCTCCAGGTTCTTCCAGGAAGTCGTCAGGGCAGCCTGTACTCGGCAGACTCCTGCCAGGTCAGGAAGGGAGAGGCCCACAGTGACCTTCTGGATCAGCGCCTGAGGCTTCTGTGGGACCTGTTTACTTCAACCACATTTCAGACATTTGTTTGTCCAGCTCTGCAAACTTCTCCCAACCTAACTGTTCCAGGGTTACAGAGATAAACCTGGGAATAGAGGCTGGACCCACCGCTGAGGGGCAGCCAGTCCCCCCAGCTGCCCTCCGGGGCGTCCCAGAGAGCCGTGTGGCCTGGCCTAAGCCCCGTGGGCGGTGGCCTTTCTCCCTGTCTCCTGAGATGGCATGGGCTGCTCTGGAATGACCTCCCGGGAACAGCAATACTCGCTTCCATCACAGGGCTTGGGTTTGGGTTCCAGTTCATCTGTGCTTCCAGCCTGGCCGGGGACCCCTCCTTTGAGAATGTCCTGCCGGGCACTGTCGTCTCTGCCCTGCCTCTGCAGTGGGGCCTGCAGACCACTTCCTGCGCCTTCTCTCCTCTCCTCTCCCCTCCTCTCCTCTCCTCTCCTTTCCCCGCCTTTCCCCTCCCTTCCTCCCCTCCCCTCCTCCTCTTCCCTCCTCCCCTCCCCTCTCCTCTCCTCTGCCCTCTCCTTCCCCATCCCTCTTCTCTCCCCTCCCCTCCCCTCTTTTTTCTCTCCTTCCTTCCTCTCCCCTCCTCTCTTCTCTCTCCTCCCCTCCCCTCCCCTATCTCCTCTTTCCTCTCCTCCCTTTTCCTCTCCTCTCCCCTCCCTCCTCTCCCCTCCCCTCCCACCTCTCCTCCTCTCTTCTCCTTTCCTTCCTCCTCCTCCCTCTCTCTCTGCCTGCTTGAGCCCGAATGACTGGATCGGGACACTTTGCTGGGCTGGGTGTGCCAAGACTCTGGTGAGGCTCTGCCGAGGGCTTTTTAAAATCCTGTCAGTTCCTGAGGTCTTGGCAGATCCAGTCTGGACGGAGAACCAAAAATAACTCCTTGAGTTGAGGAGGCGGGTAGCCTCCAGCCCCACAGGCCCAGGAGCTGTGCCTGAGGCCAGCAGCTCAAAGCGTGGTGCACATGGCTGGGGTTGGCAGCTGGCATCATGGCCAAGCATGCATGTACAAGAGGGCACCAAGGAGGAAGCCCTGGTGCCCACACAGCCTGGGAGGTCCAAGTGGGCAGGCAACGGTAGCTGTCATGGAGGCTGCCGCCACCCTGACCATGCTGAGCATGAAGCCCCCTCTCTGTGTGCTCATCTTGCGCTTAGGGCGGCACAGCAGGGCTTGTGCCATGTGGCTGCTCTGGCTCTGCCTCTTTCTAGGCCCCCCGCCCTCAGAAAGGTCCCAGGTCTCTGCCTGTTCCTTGGTGCAGAGGGTGAATGGCCACAGGACCCTTGCTCATCCCCACTGTCCCTTGCTGGGCCAGACAGGGAGGCAGTACAGGTGTGCTGAGAATGTGTCACTCACCCACTCTTCTTGGGGACAGGGGAGGGAGACTCAGGCCTTTGTGTCCCCCAGGAAGTGTGCAGTGCCAACTGAGGTCCCCAATGGCCTGCTCGGTGAATTCAGGATGAGAGAAAGAGAGGGCAGGAAGGGAGGGGAGGGACAAGTGTGCAGAGGCAGAAAGGGCCAGGCCAGCACACGGCCTCTGAGCTGAAGTGGGGGTCCACCTGCAACCTCCACAGTGGTCTGGGCCCCTTTGGGTGGGCTTTTAGCCTGGGAGGTCTCAGTCACTCTGGGACACGGCTCGAGTGTGAATCCAGTCTGGGAAGACACTGCAGCACTGAGCAGGGTGACCCACAAGGTGCTGTCACCCAGGGCTGCCAGCCCTGTCACCCTCTGTGCAGTGGCTTCTTTGGACTTCAAAACCACATCCCTGGATCAGGGATGAGCGATCGCTTCCTCCTCTTCCTCCTCCCACAAGACAGTCACAGGGACCCTGGCTTTGTCTGAGTGAATGCCGGCAGTGGGCCCGGGGAGGGGCTGGGGACAGGGCTGGCTGGGACCCTTTTGGCTTCTCCCAGTCACTTTCTTATTAAGAGCAAGCTGCTGTCCATCCTGCCTCTCAGGTCCCCCAGCAGCCCAGTAACTCTGGGGTCAGCAGGAGCAAAGGGAGAAAGGACCAGCCACGAGGTGGCATCCAGCTGGGCCCCACTTCCCCCGGCCCTGCCCACCCCAAATCCCAGAGCAGCATGTTGGGTAAGAAGCTGGCCTAGGCTCTCATGGAAAAGGACTCTCCCGAGAGATTTCCAGGCCACACTGTGGTTTGTCCTTCCAGTGCCTGCAGAACTGGTCAGCATGGCCAGCATCTTGGCCCCTTCTCTGGGTCTCCTTCCCGGGACTCAGCCAAAGCAGGGCTGTGTGAGCAGAGCCCAGCAGGCTTCTGTGACGTCCAGAGTTGTGAAGGAAATGGGGAAAGGGGGAGGGATGGGGAGCAAGGCCGGCGGGGCCAGGGGTGGTGGTGGCCTTTCTTGCAGGCTGGGTCACAATGCTGGCCCAGGACTCTGGCCCATGACTCTGGTGGGACTCGGCAGAGTCCAGCTTTTTTCTGCTCATGGCGGCTCTTTATCTGGCCAGGCCCCCTGCTGCCAGAGAGGTCCCCTCCTTCCAAAGTGGGGGCCAGGGCTCTGCCTTTCATCTTCCTATCTTGGCGGATGCTGCAGTGGACATGGTCACCACACTTAGTTTTAGGATGCACCAGAGAGGGAGGTGCCCTGGGCAGCAAGGTGGTGACAGTGCCCTCCAGGGCTGGACTTGGCCTCTCACGTGGGGGATTATTCTGGCTTCCCCTGGTCTCCGGTTAAGTCGCTGACAATCTTCTATAAGCCCTGGATCTCCTCTGAACTTTGCGGATGCCTGTGTACATATGCTAACACGGGGGCCCTGGAGGGCAAGAGGAGAGGCAGCTTTGAGGGCGTCCACACAGACAGCCGTCCAGCACCGTCCTTGGAATGCCTTGCCCCTTAAGATGCATGCCCCAGGATGAGTGGCTTTGGAACAGCCGTGTGGCTGCCAGGGCCTGGGGTGGCACTGCCGCAGGAGGCAGCAGGTTGGGTAAGGAGAGCTGGGCCTGGCCTTGGCTCTGCCTGAATGACAGGGTGGCCCTGGGCACATCCCTTGCTGTCTCTAGCTGCTGCTGCCTATGAGGCATGAGGGCTACCTCGCTCCTGTCCAAGACCCCAAGTCTCATGCTCAGAACCTAGGCCTTAGCCCGAGTGGTGCCTGTGCATCTCTGTAATCCTAGCTCCTCTGGAGGCTGGAGCAGAAAGATCGCAGCCTGGAGGTCTAGGGAGCCCTGCCAGGTATCCGTAGCAGCTGTATGAGGCCGGCTGCTGCTGTTCTCGCTGCCCAGAGGAAAAACTGTGCGAGGCTGGCTCTTCCTGGAGGTGCCATGCCCCATCCCGAGCAGTCCCTAGACCTGCAGGGTGTGGCGCTCCTGGCTCCTTCCTGCTTCCCGTCACAGCCTCTGGTGCTCTGCAGTGAGGACTGATAGAAACAGGGCAGGAGCAGCCGCTCAGCAGACCTGGGGCAATGGGGGCTTCTGGTGGGGCGGCTGGTGGGTCACGGCCTCCCTCCACCCCGTCCTGACCCCCGTGTGCTCTGTTCCAGCCTGTGGCAAGTTGACGGGCATAAGTGACCCAGTGACCATCAAGACTTCTGGCTCAAGGTTCGGGTCCTGGATGACAGACCCTCTGGCCCCAGAAGGTGACAACAGGGTAAGTGTCCCTTTATCCTTTTGGGGACCACTTGGATGGAGGTGTTCTCATGGGCAGGACTGGTCTCTGACACTCACAGTAGCATCAGCGTGATCCCCACGTGGGCTGGGACCCGGAGAGCTCAGGGTCTTCTTGGAGAGCAAAGCTCAGGTCCTTCACTGGGGTCCCAGGCTGCAGGGGCTCCTTCAAAGCCCCTCCTGGATGCCTGGTGCTGGGCTAGGCTGGGCTGGGCTGGGCTGGGCTGGGCTGGGCTGGTGCTGAGTCCTCTGTCCCAGGAAAGCCTCCGCTCATCTCTGCCTCTGCTGCACAGAGGAATCCATTAGGCCTTTCTTGTTTTAATGACATCTCATTTGTATTTCATTTGCCATTCCTTTCATGACTGATAGAAGCCCATGTTCCTTTTTGATTTCGGGAAAAGGCCTGAGTTCTTTTTTCCTAGGCCTTTTCCCCAGGGGCAAACATCCAAAAAGGACACCCTGCCCCCACCAAGGCTCTCTGGTCCTGTTGCCTGGGGCTGGGTTGTGGCTGGAGCCCTTTGGGAACCAGAGTGAGGGCGGCTGCTGAGGGTGGAGAAGCCTGGCATCTTCCTGGACCCCATTCCACTCCTCCGGGCCAAGAGGAGGGAGCTTTAGAACACCAGATCCTGCAGCTTCAGTAGAGAATCAGTAATGTACAAGGCTGGCTGAGTCCCCTTTTCTGGGGCCTCTGGTCTTCGGGACAGGAGGGGGGAGGGGCGCTCTCCTCTCTGCGGGAGGTGACACAGGCATTCAGGGTGCCTGATACTCCTGTGTCTATCTGTCATTCTCCAGAGGGCAGGGTCCTTACCGTGTGGCCTCATACACCGTCAGGCAGTGCACCCAGACCCTGCTGGCGAGCTCCTGACGGCTGGCAGGGTGTGTACAGGAGGGTTTGGCATTGGGGCAGGGAAAGGTTGTTTCATTCCATTTTCTGAAGGTCGCTGTGCGGTGCTTGGAAGTTTTCTAAGCAGGTCACTGGCTGTTTCCCTGGCCTTTTCCGTTTGCATCACACCTGGAAAGCCCACCTCCTTTGGAGCTGGGCTAGGAACACCCTCTTGTGCAGGTGTGGATGAAAATGATGATAAAATGGGAACAAAAACCAAACATTGTAGCTGGTGCTTAGAAAGCATGGCCTATGTGCCTGGCACTGTTCCAAGCACTTGACATCCCGGTACTCCACGTGCAATTGCAGCCACCCTCAGTGTGTCCCCAAGCACCTGTGTGCACCCCAGGCTTGGGAATGTCGTTCTTCCTGGGCTGATGAAGATGGCATCCTCACTGCCTGCATACAGGGGTCCTGCCCAAATCCTGGGGAGGCTGGCCCTTGGCATCACTGAACACAAGTCTCTGGTGGGCACTGACACTCAGATTGAGGCTCCCAATGCCCTCCAGGGACCTGTGTCCCATCCACCTGTGGCTTTACCCACAGAGCCGGGGCCTACTGCTGACCTGTATGGGCTTCAGCTGGGACCCGAGACCAGGGGTTAGATACCTTCCTGCCGAGAGGGGCCCACGTCTGGACATCTGGTTGTGTCCAGCCCTGCAAATGGGCCTCTTGGCCCTGTTGGTCTCCATTCCCTTGTCCTGGAGGACGCTGGTCAAACCAGGAGCCAGAGCCCGAAGCTGAGCTGTTTGCACGGCGCAGCGCGGGTGTCAGTCCACAGAGCTGCTGAGCTGCCTGTGGGTGCTGCGGAGAATTACACATTCATTTTCCGCTCTGTGACTCTTGTGCCCTTCAGGAGAGAGGAGCTGGCAGACATGGTGCCAGCCAAAGGACCTACGGGAGAAAGGGAAGCTTGGGAGGTGGCAGGGAGGGTGCACACTGGGCTGGGAGGTGATCTGGGGCACCATCCTGGGCCTTCTCCAGCCACTCCAGGCTGTGCATTCTGTATGGTGGCCTTCATCTCCCAGCTTGCTAAGTGGCGTGTCGCCTGGTCCTGCCATTGATCTGGACCAGCAGTGTTTTGTTTTGGTGTTTTCCAATCTCTCATCCAGTTTTGATCACAGACACACAGGAGACCAGTAACGTGCAAGAGACCAATAATGGGCCAAAAAAGAGAGCAGGCAATGGGATGTTGGCATCAGGGCAGGGTGCCCAGGTGCATGGCAGGGTGGGCAGGGAGAACTGCTGTTCTGCCTGCCCCAGCAAGGCTGTCCCGGGCCACCCTGCAGGCGATGCCCAGCTGCCTGTGTGCTGAGCTGTTAGCATGGGGGAGCTTGGGACACCCTCCCACCTGTCCTGCCTCCACCCATTTATTAAGCACCAGCTGTGTGCCCGCTCAGTGCAGAGGGACCACATGGGCTCCAGGGACCCAGATCCTGACCCTGACCATGGGTCCCGCCCGAGCCCGCTGCCCTCTTGCTGGTCTGCTTCCACCAGCGCACTTGGGCATTAGAAAGGGGGCCTGTGCGGCCCTTATGCCAGCCCAGGAGGCTCACGTTCCCAAGGGGGAGGAATAAGGGTGAAAGCACTATCGTCTCTGTCAGCATCAGCGTCCTTGCCCGGTGTGACGCTGCCAGACCATCTGGGTCCTCTGTAGGGAGGTGACACCCAAAGGGGAAGGATCAAGGGTGCTCTGGGTTGGGCAGAGGCCGCCAGGGCCACACAGCACCATCCTAAGCTCCTAAGCTCCTTCCTGGGCCCACCTCCCCCGCCCTGCCCTTCCCCATGGCCCCATACCCCCTCCTGTCCTCGGCATTTCCTTCCTAGTGCTGGCCTCTCAGCATTATCGGTCCCAACAGGGGGATGTGTGACAGCTGCTTGCCAGGCCACAGGGAAGAGCAAACCAGGCCCGAGTCACTAGGCAGCCCTTTAAATAGCACCGCCATGCAGCCCCTGCGCGGCCCCCTCTGGGGTTCCCCAGAGTCCGGGGCGAGGCCTGCTTGTTGTTTTGTCCCAGCCGGAAGAACAGCCAATGAAAATAGGACAGTCAGGAAAACCAGCACTGTCACTAAACACCACTAACAGTGACCATATGGAGCTGCATCGCAGCAGGGAGACCCAGTTTCTTCCCAGGGGAAGCGGGCGTTGGGCGTCTGGTCTCTGAGAGTGGCATCTGGGGCTCAGCTGATGCTGATGATGGAGGAGGAGTCTGGGCAGGGGCTCGGGTTCAGCAGGAGATAGACGCCAGGAGCCCGAGGCTGCGGACAATTCAGAGGGATGGACTCAAAGGCGTCCGTCTCGGGCCAGTCAGCTTGTGCTGTGGGCCTGTGGCTGTGGCCACTGGACACTGGGGTTCAGAGATCCCAGCTGCCCTTAGGGAACCTGGTGCTCCTGTCTCTGCTGGGGGAAGGTGCAGGGCTGTTGATGGCATCAGAGGTATCATAAGGGAGTCCCTGCCACCCTCACCTGCTCTGCAACCTGGAGGCATCCTTAACTGTCTGCAGGGAGACAGAAGGGGGTGCAGAGAAGCTTGGAAGAGGCTATGGGCACTGGGGTCTGGGAGGGGTGGCTGCAGAGTCACTATTGTTCCCCCATCCCTGCCTGGGTGGCCCCACTTTGTGGGGTAGCGTGAGAGAGGCCTTTGGAATTTGGTAGAAAGGACCTTTTTTAAGGAGCATGGTGTCACAGCTCAGGGAGGCCGTGGTGGCTGTGCACAGTGGCTGACAGCTTGGTGCACCTTGTAAGGGGTGGCCAGTGCTAACAGGGCAGGTGAACCCGAACAGAAGCACCCTGCTCACTGGGTCCCTGAGCTGGGAACCCAGAAGCAGTGGTTTCGGAGACCCTGCCCTGTGCCCTGTGTTATCATGGAGGGGTCACAGCCTTCTGTTCCTGGTGTCTCGGGGTGACCTCAAGGCTGAGCACTGCATGGCCAGGGTGACCCCTCCATGGGGCTGGGCATATGCAGACTTCCCTCAAAGCTGCCGGGGCCCGAGGTGCCCTCTGCAGCCCACCCTGGGAATGGGTTCTCAGTCCTCTCAGTGAGGGTTGTGACAGAGCTTCCCTTGGCCCCCCAACACCAGGCTGGGGCTGCTGGCCTGTTTCAGGCTGGCTAATGCTAGGCACATGTGCCAGCCTTGGCCTGTGACATGGGGACCAGGGCTTTGTCTTCTAGAGCAATGGGAACAATGAGCAGAAGGGATGGGTGAACCAAGAGAGGTCACAACAGAGACAGCACCTGGCTTCTCGGCTCTAACTTCTGACATTTAGGACCTGTCATCTCTGTCGTTGGGCATCCTGGGCATTGCAGTATGGCTAGGAGCTTCCCAGACCTTTGCTTGCCTTGGCCAACCATGATGATTAAGACTCTCCATACAGGGTTCCTGTCCTCTGGCCAGGGCAGGGATTTCAGGCCCAGGTTTGGAGTCAGCCCTGGCTCTGTCCTCAGTGGAGTTGCTGAAGCTTTCTGGCCTCAGTGTTCTAGTCTGCAAATGGGGCAGAACCAGCAATGTGGGTACACGGGGTGGCCTGAGGGCAAAAGGGGAATCTGGCAGCCAGCACCTCTACCACCCCAAATAAAGGTTCCTGGTGCCCAGGCTCTGCCTGGGGCCTGGAGCTGGGCAGCTTTGAAGCTGTTTAGGAAGAACTGTGGGTCCTTCCAGAAAGCACCGGAAGCCCAGTGCTGTCTTGGGGACCCCTTTCTTGGAGACAGATATAGCAATGTTGATGGATTTAATCGGACCCTGGGAAGATCAGGGTGGGGGAGGTAGGTGGGGCCTTGCCCAGCACAGAGAGTGGCTCCTGGCCCCTTGGGCTCTGCCTCAGTGGCTCTGTTCTGCACAGAGCAGCTCCTGATAGGTGACACCATGGGACACCATGGTGGCCACACTTACACGTGGATACTGGCAGCCCTCATAGGTCCCCCCAGAGCCACTGTGACTGTCCCTCCCTCCCCAAACTGCATTTGAGTCTGATTTACTAGCAGATAGGAGAAAAGGCCACTGGAAAATCACCGGTGATTGAATAAATACTGATGTCATGGGCGCTGGACTCCAGGGATCCAGAAATGTGTCACTGGCTGTCTGTTGGCACAGGGAGGCTGGTGTGAGAATATCCACAGAAGGGTCCTCCCTGCAGAGATGAGGAGTGGTGGCTTGGGTGAGGGGGGCTCCGGGAGCCCCATAAGAGCTAAGCCAGGCAGAAGCAGTGAGCTCCTTGTCCTAGGAGGGGTGAAGGGGGCCGCTTTTAGGATGTGTGACCAAGGGGTTTTTGCACGTGGCCCTGGTGCCTGCTCTGCCCTTCCCAACTCTAATCCATGACCCACATCATGAAGGCCCCTTCTGTGGGAGGTGAAGGGTACTAATAGCCTCTCACATGAGCCTCAGTTTAAAATTTTTTAAAAAAGCTCTCATTAAAAACAGAAAGAACATCTGCCTGAGAGCACAGGAATGGATGTCACAGAACAAGGTTTAGATTTTTTAAAAACCTCTAACACATGTGTTGGGCCAAGTCTGAAGGCACCCGCATCCCTGATCCCCCTGCAGTTCCTGATGGATAAAGCGGCTGTCACTGCAGGCAGATGCCCAGGCGGTGGCATTAGCCTGGCGGATCCTCATCTGCTCCCGCACTGGTGGAAACGGCTAAAGGGCTTTGTTCAGAGTCTAGACAGTCCCGAGGCAGCTGGCGTCTAAGCAGTCACACCGTCTTCCCCAGTAGCCCAAAGCAGGGCCGCTTCCAGGTTTGGTGGGGTGCATTTCCACAGCCGGGGCTGTGTGCCGCAGAGCCTCCATTCTACTGGGAGAAGCACTTTTCTCAGATTAGGTGTGACCCTGAGCAATGACGTCAGTGCTCTTTCTGAGCTAAACGAATGAGGCTCTGCCACCCGGCAATGCCAAGATTCAGTGGGCACTGCGCAGGGCCTAGTGTGGTGGAAAAGTCTAGTGCACGGCGTCTTGTTGGCATTTGGGAACTGGCCCACCTCAGTGACCTTGAGAGCCCATTGTCACACAGGCAAGAGTTGCCAGGGCTCTGAGCATCTGTCCTTGCTCAAGACATGCAGCTGAGCCCTTTCTGTGCCCACTGGTATGGAGATATGGTGAGCTGGGCAGGGTTCGGCTGTGGACAGGGCAGGGAGCTAGCAGGTGCGGCCACAGTCTCACAGTCTGAGAGGTCTGGGCACAGGGCTCAGTCTGAGTCCCATGAGGTGCTCAGGGCCACACCCTGCTGTGGTGGCTGTATGTTGCATGGGGCCGCTGCAGCCTGTGTGTGCCATGAAGCAGCAGGGCCCAAGCTGTGCAGCTCCACGCCGCCCTGCCTGGTGTCCTTCCTCATCCTGCAGGAGCCTTTCTCTGGAGGAAGGACAGGACACACCCTAGTCTTTTTGTTTATATTTCTTTTATTTTGCTCTTTGTTTTCTTGAGACAGGGTCTTGCCCTTTGGTTCAGGCTGGCTTAATCTTACTATGTAGCTCAGACTGGCCTTCAGCTCGCAGGCTTCCTCCTGCCTCAGCCTTCCCAGTGCGGAATTACAAGTGTACGTTGCCAAGGCTGGCCCTTGCAAACTCCAGGTGGGAGGGTGCGGTCTCCCCCACCCCAGGATCCCCACCAGCCCCCTGGGAGCACTGACCAAGTCTCTTGTCTCCCGCAGGTCTGGTACATGGACGGCTACCACAACAACCGCTTTGTGCGCGAGTACAAGTCCATGGCGGACTTCATGAACACGGACAACTTCACATCGCACCGCCTCCCGCACCCCTGGTCGGGCACTGGGCAGGTGGTCTACAATGGCTCCATCTACTTCAACAAGTTCCAGAGCCACATCATCATCAGGTTCGACCTGCGGACCGAGGCCATCCTCAAGACGCGCAGCCTGGACTACGCCGGCTACAACAACATGTACCACTATGCTTGGGGCGGCCACTCGGACATCGACCTCATGGTGGACGAGAACGGGCTCTGGGCCGTCTACGCCACCAACCAGAATGCCGGCAACATCGTCATCAGCAAGCTGGACCCTGTGTCCCTGCAGATCCTGCAGACATGGAACACCAGCTACCCCAAGCGCAGCGCCGGCGAGGCCTTCATCATCTGCGGGACCCTGTACGTCACCAACGGCTACTCGGGGGGCACCAAGGTCCACTATGCCTATCAGACGAACGCCTCTACCTACGAGTACATCGACATCCCTTTCCAGAACAAATACTCCCACATCTCCATGTTGGACTACAACCCCAAGGACCGCGCGCTGTATGCCTGGAACAACGGCCACCAGACCCTCTACAACGTCACCCTCTTCCACGTCATCCGCTCTGACGAGTTGTAGCTCTAGCGCCCCGAAGCCGAGGGTCCAAGTCCTCGCCTCTGAGGGCCCCGCCCCTCCCTGAGAAGCAGCTGCCAAAATGATACTAAGAAGACTAACGATACTAATTTTGAAAAAAATAAATAACAAATCATCAGCAACGATTCTGACGCCTCCGTGTTCCTCCCACTCGGCTGGTGGGCGACAGATTTCGGAAGAACCCCCCCCCACATTTGCAGCTGGAACTGCAGCCCAGCACCCCCATCTACCCCCACCCCTACTCCAGTTCCTCTCCAGCAGCAAGGCAATGACTGTTGGCCGCTCCCGCCCAAGAGCAGCCTACTCTTCGGATCGCATGGACATTCCCTGAGTCGCGGGCAGCGCTGATAGGCGTGACGCTCCTGACTCTGCCATGGGAACCCCCAGCCCCACCACCCCGGGCAGCCTCTGAGGAGGCAGGGGGAGCTCACATTCGTTGAAGCTGCGTTTCCTGACCGTATTGTTGTCTCTTAGATTAACTGTGTCGAGGCTGCCAGTAGCTCATGGACCCGTGTTTAGTACTTCCTGAAGCAATGGGGGGCGTGTGTCCTGCACTTGCTGAACCCACACTGTTTGGACTCGCGTACCCCGTAGATCTATCGTGCAGTGTCTGTTGTTCTTTCCTTGAGGTGGTAACTTTTGTGCGTTTAGTGTATGCGGTGGATGTTAATGCGATGCCGTACGTAGTTTGGATTGATAAGTGGATGGTTCTTGTTTCTAAAAAGAAATCAGTGTTCACCCTTATAGAGACCTAGTCAAGTTCGTGTTGCTAATAATCCAAGGAATTCTTCTCTTCTTGTTCGATTACCTGGATGATATAACTGCAGGTGCAAAGGGCTTGTCTGGGAAACCCCGGTTTCCGGTGGGAAGGAAAGCCACAGAAGGCTCACTTTTTAGGTCCAGAGAGGGAAACTTTGTACTATCCAGTTATCTAAGGAACAATAAAAATATTAGGAGATGTTTGTGCTTCTCTTGTCATTTCTGGGGGCTTTCGAGGGGACAGGGACCCCTGGGTCCTTGCGGCTGTGGTCCAAATGTGAGTGGCCCTTCCAGGAGGGGACAGAAGGTTTGGGTAAGAGGATCGTGATGTGTCCCCCACTTCCCCCACTCCCACAGTTGGAACCTGGTGGTCAGTTGGGGCTGCCTCCCCTTACGAAATCCAAGGTGCCAACAGGGGGCTGCACCTGGAGATCCATACTCCCTTCTCCTGCTCCAAAGGCATAACTAGGAGAAACCTGGGGAGCGGTGACCCCAGCAAAGAGCCCGAGAGTGCCAGGAAGGCTGACTCAGCCTCTGGACAGTCACCCCTGAGAGGCTGGCCCTCTTCTCTGGTCCTGAGACAAGGGTCTCGGCAATGCCAGGGAGCCAGCCTGTGGGCAATGCCCTTGAGGGACAGGACTTTCCGGAATGCCCCGGGTGCCATGGTCCCTCCACCCACAAGGTGATGCCCCTTGCCTCAGCATGATGGGAATTTGGTTGGGGCTTATGGGTGGCATGGGGTTCAGGGTGTAGTGGACAGAGCTGCCTGTAGGTCCACTGTGGAATGTAAGGACTACGATACCAGCCCTGTGCCCAGTGGATGCTGGAGCAGGATGCAGCTGTGTGTATCTGGGTGCTATGTCTGCTCTGGCCACCACAGGTGATCTGGGCAGTAGCTGGGAACACATGGGTGATGGGCAAGGTGAAGGTAGCCCTGAAACACTGGGTGGGGAATGGGGAGGTCCCAGAAGCCCTTGGAGGTTTGCTGGGAACTGTGGATGGGCAGGGCCTCATGCACAGTCTGTATGGCCACTGACCACTCAAGGGACTACGGTCTGGTCCTCAGTTTCCTCTGCGTGGGCTGGGTGGACTGGTGATGCTGCTGGCTATGAACGGTCTAGACTAGCAGTGATTAAGTTATGGCACCTGCTGCTTGGTGTTAGTGATGATCCTTGAAAGCTCTGAATGGTCTGCCATCACTAGCCTAGACTTTCACTGCAGTGGGCAGTGGCCTTTCTCAGCCTGCCCAGTCTGTCCTCTGCTGTGCTCCTTCGAAGTCCCCAGAGTCTGGCTGTCCTTCCCTGGCCTCTTCCCTGCACACAGAATCCTCTTTAGCATGGGGACAAAGCTTGCTTCCAAACTAGGCTCCTCTCCAAATCCAAGCCCTAACCAATCCTTCCTTGCTCTCAGGTTTTTCTGAAAAGTTGGAGCCTCCACTGCAGGGAGTTGAGAAGAGAGGCGGGAGGGGTGGGGAGCTAATCCTTAATTACAGCCTCATTAGCTGAATGGCTCCCCAGCAAGCCAACCTCACGCCCCACCGCGGGACCAGCCTGCAATTAAAAGTTTCAGAAGTGGGACACAGTCTCTTTCCTTTCATGTCTACAAACGGTTTTGGAGAAAGACAGAATATTTAATCCCCCTGGGGCAGAGGAGCTGGTTATTAATAGGAAAGCCGGGGTTTTAATAAAGCCGTAACAGCTGGCCACGCCTGCCATGCTTCTGTGACGAAACCCTGTGCATGCACCTCTGGGAGACAGTGCGGTGATGGCAGTAATTATGGGCTGATTTCCGTGTCACTTCCCCCTAACAACATAGTAACACTGGAGCGGACTGTAACCTTTCCTACCAGTCCAAGATAACAGCCCAGTAGGTCCAGCATAGATTTGCTGTCTCAGACTAAGTATTTGCTAGGGAAAATATTCTTCCAAGGGATTACGCAAGAAAAATGGTTCCATCCAGAAAGCAAATAAAACAACCACCGGCCACTAAATCTCCCAGATTCCAATAATGGACTGTATTGGCGGATGGTGGGAACATCTGCGGGTGAATTTTCTTTATTAAAAGTTTGGCCTGGAATCAAAAGCCAGCAGTTCCTGGGGGTAGTCTGAGCTCACAGCATGAGACAGAGGCGGTTCTGTCTGCAGCTTGATCCTGGACCTGGCTCGGTTCCGCAGGGTTCTTTCCCCTCAAGGGAGCTTGGGACAGCGACCCCAGCATCTACAGAGCTGCCCATGAGCTTCCTCTGAGCCTCAGAGTCAGAATTTGTCATGGAGGGGGTGGCAGGGTGGCTCTCCTTCCTACCCAGGGGGCCAGAATCAGTCTCCAGCTGCAAGAGGCTGTCCCTGGGCCCTGGGACGTCGGGCAGAGACGGAGGCCGGTCCTTTGGGACAGCCACAGCTGTGCAGTGGGCCATTTAGGTGGCAGTGTTCACTGTGAACACTGTGTCTAGCACTTGGTGTCCTCTGTCCGTTTTTCCTTCTGTTCCCTTTCTGTTCTCCTGTCTCCGTCTTCAGGAGCCCTTTCTGTGTACAGAGTGAGGCTCTGTGACTCTACGCTGTACCCTGAAGGTGCTGCCCAAATGGACATTTATCTCTTAATTTCCGTGATGGTGGCTTTTTTTCACTTCTTATTCAACTGTAGTCAAAATGATCAGCTATTCATTTCCCGCCTTTGCTTCTGAGCCGCATGGGCCCAGTCTTCCTGCTCGGGCTTCTAAGGGATTCGCTCGGGTTTTCTTCTGAGACTTCTGAGTGTCCTCCTGGTGCTGGCACTGCCCCTTCTGGCTTCATCTTTTCCAAAGGCCGTCCAGCTGCCCTGCGGCTGTGGATTCCATGGGCCGCCCTTCCCTGCTGAATTTCGTGTCCTTGGGTTTATTTCTGGACCCTTCTCTCGAGGAGTCTGTGTTTGATGCTGTTCTTGGAAATTCCACTCCCAGATGTTCCCGGTCATTTACACAGACAGGTTGGGCTTCTCCCTGAGGTGAATATTCTTGATTTCTGGGGTTGGTTTAGTGCTTCTTGCTGCTCAGAGCCGTCCTTAAGATGCTTACACATGCAGGTGCCTTGGACAGCTGGACCTTGGGGTCATTCTCATCCCAGGTGGGGTGCATTGGCTTGGCATGAGATCCGTCATTCTCAGAAGAACAAGGGACTTAAAATGGATGAACTTTTTCTGTCTGGAATTTTCCGTTGAGTGTTGTTGGACGGAGGCAATCAAAACCATCAGTGTTTATTGAATGAATGCACAATGGTGCACAATGGTGAGCATGGGAACATATCTCCCAACACAGATCTAAGTTCAGCCATGGCCAGGGCTTGGTTTCTAGAACCTTTATTCCAATTTAACTATTTCCAGCACTTCACGGGGGCAGTTCTGGCTCCTGCTCTCCCCGGACAGTCCCTTTACAACAGGGGCTGCACAGTGACCTGGCGGAGTGAGCCACGAGCCCACAGGACAGAGACTGGACTCTTCTGATGCCCATTCTCCTCTCTAAAGGGAGGGAAGCCCAGCAGCCTGAGCTTAGGAGCCTCAGCGCCCCGGCCGCTAGTGCAGGCGGCGGCATCCGCCTGCACCCGGGCCAGGAGCGGGAAGCAATTTCGAGCTGTGAATTAGTCGGAGCAGCCAAGCAGAACAGAGAAGCAGAAATAGATCCCAACACGAAGGGTTTGCAAGGTTGATCTGAGAACACATCAGGGATGAGGTTCGATGGCTGTTTGGACAACCGAGAGTGTAGGTCCCCTCCTCCGAGCAGCATCCCCGTGCTGCTCTGTGGGCCGATGCCCCCTTGCTCGCCGCCCTGTGTTTTCCAGGATGGCAGAAGACTGGGACGCTTTCCCACAGTGACCACTGTCATCCGGGGATGGCAGAGTAGCCGCAGGGTAGGGTGGGGGATGCCAGCAGCACAGAAGGAAGGCAACAGATCAGGACCAACATCCCAGGGTCTGGAGGGGACAGATCTAAGCCAGCCAGCCTCGGACCGGCACAGGGTCACCTCCCAGGGTGGCGGGGGTGGGAGGGCTCTTAATGGGCAGAGCAGGGTCTCCAGCCTGCTGGGTTTTCAGTCTGAGTGAAATGGGCATCAGGCAGGGTGGGGTGCAGTGGGGTTTGGAGGGTGCGTGGGCACACTGGTTGCAAAGGGGAGGAGAACGGACCTCCCAGGCCTGGGGGGGGGGTGTCTGACACAGCCTGGGGGTCTCAGTGAGTGAGGTCTGTGGCTGGGTCCCAGGGAGACTCCTGCGTGGGGCACACCTGCCCTTCTGGGGATGCCAGTGTTCTCAGGCCCACAGAAGCTTGGAGTCCCAGGTGCAGCTGTGTGGGTTGGGGACCCCAGGAGTAAGCAGGAAAGGGAGTGGCCAGCGAAGGTGAGTGAGAGCCTCCATGGGGTCACCAAATCACCAGGTGGCCAGGAAGGAAGGGTGGGCAGGGGTCGAGACAGCCCTGGGAGCCACACAGCCAAGGCTGGAAGGTAAGTCAGGTGAGCTGGAAGGGGTCAAGGTGGAACCCTCACCAGAGTGACAGGGCAGGGGTAGGGGAGTGGCCCACCAGAGCAAGGCTACAGTAGAATCCAGACCCCAACAAGGGGCACACCAGTCACAGGCTGGGAAGATGTGGCCTCCCAGGGAAACGGACAGTCAGGGAGCAGGCCAGAGGGTTGGAGTTGGGTTGTGGAAGGCAGAGCCTGGGTGGGGCTCAAGGTTGCAGGTGGGCAGTGAGCTCAGGGGATCAATATGCCTGGGATGCAGAGCTGGGGTGTTGGGGGGCCAGTCTGGGACTGTGGCAGCTCCACTCTCCTCTCTCCTGGAGCCCCAGGAGCAAGTGACAGGGTGAATTTGGGGTCCCTTGTCTGCTGGCCACGTGGTGACTCAGGTGCTGGCCTGCAACTGCTCTCATCTCTGGGCTTGGCACAATGCGGGGCCTGCAGTCACGGGATGACCATGCTGTCCACCTCGCCCCCCTCAGGCTGGGCTGAGCTCAGGAGGCTGAGGCTGAGCCCCAGCCCTGTCTTCAGCCCCCTGGCTGCCTTATGTTTCCTGTCTTCCTGATGATAGGATCCAGAGCCCGGCTGTGTACCCACACTTGCGGTGCACCGACCCAGGCACACCCTTATGCCTGCACATCTGCGCACACGTTTGTGTCCTGGCACATAACTGTCCTGGAGGGGAAAGTGCAGAGAAGGGAGAGCCTCAGCCCTGCAGGAAACACC